TGGTGGGAGGTGGGAAGGGAAGAAAAGCCACAGGCTTAGTAGAGTTTTTCTGAAAATCCTTTCCTCTCTTTTCCTCTGATCTTGAAAAAATTTGAATATGTAACCCCTTTTGAAAGAAGCCTTAACATTTTCAACAATAAGTAATTTTTACTGTTATGTGATTTCTTGTTAGCATCATGCAGTGGTACTCAGTTTAAAGTACTTAAGACTTTAATGTTTTGAAATGTCTTTTAAAAAATATTTTGGTTTGGGGTTTTTTTTGTGTTTGGATCAGGATCAAGTAGGCAGTTCTTTTCTGGGATGTTTAAAAGCCTGCAGAAGGAAGAGCTTAGGTTGAAATCATACCCTGGTTTGTTACTACAGTGTTGCCATTAATATTTACAGCTCCATGTTATAGCTTTCTACTCAACCTTTTTCCAGGTTCTGCAAGGTAGAAGCATTGAGCTAGAGTATAATCAGTACTTGAGCAAGTTCAGTGACTTCTTATGCATATTCTACTATATTGCCCGCCACCTGTGGGGCACAGTCATTCAATTTAGGCTGAAGAAGTCTAGAAGTTCACTTCTGCAAGTTTCAAATTGAAGGCCAAGGTTCATACTAAGTACTTGCCATACTAATATTACGAACAATGTGTGTGTGTATATAATATATATAAAAATACATATATATACACACATATATGTAAGAGAACAAGAAGATCGAATCATTTACACTAGATCTGGTTTGGATTTTTTTCTTACTGAAATAAACATTTTCTAAAACTTTAATCACTAGCAGCACATAAATTTTGCTCTCCTTTTACTCTCTGTCAGCAAATTTGTTGACTTAAACACTCTTCAGCAGCGCTTATAACATTTATCAGTCTTGTTGGTTTCATTTTTTTCCTGCATTCATTTTTTAAAAACCATATCATTTGTGAAATTTTTAAAATGCTGATGTTACACCTTTTATAAAAAATTATTTCAAGGTAGAGTATTTCTTTTTAATGCTAAGATACTAAAACAGCAAAAAGGAGAACAGAGGTGTGATATGACTTGACCTATCACAGCAGATTAGTTGCAGCAAGGGAAATTCACGCTAGATACGAGGACTTGCATCACTTTGTGTGGTTAAGCATTGGAACTTTGAAAATACTTGATTGGACAGGGCCCCAAACAACCCAATCAAACTTCAGTTAGCCTTGCTTTGAGCACATGATTTGATTTGGTGACCTCCAGAGATCCCTTCCAATCTGAATTGTTATTTTGTAAAGCAAGATAGAACATACTACTTCTGGGAAAGTGTTTCAGTAAGTTCATCGTGCTGTATTTTCTGTTTCTTTTTTAAAACCCTAAGTATAGCATTACTTAGATTTGGTATATATTTGTCTAATTTACTTCCTGAATTACTGCTGTGTAGGACTATCTGCATTGCAGATGTTTTTGAAAATATTTGGAGGATTGACCGTGGCAGTTTGTTTAATAGCCAGTTTTACAGTCTGTACCATGTTTTTTAGAAATCACAGTGATTTTAAATGATACAGCGGTATTTAACTCAGCTAAGTAGTTGCAGAGCTGAAACAGCTTTCTTCTCAGGTATGCTTCAGTGTTTACCATGGTTGGAACTTTAATAAATGAATCGCTGAAAAAATATTCTTGATGTTAAAAGTGTGGTAGTAGCCTGTAGACCACAGTTTCTTAAATAAAGGTGTCTCTTGACTTTTTTTTTCTGAATAAAAAAAACAAACACCAACACCCAAAACAAAGCCAAACCAACCAACCAAAAAAACCCCAAACCCTACACTTCCATATTTTCTGGACCATACTTGGATTCTTAACTTTTAAAGCATAATTTTTTATGGTTTTGTATGCTTTAAGTATGTGTTTCTGCTTTTGCTGCACTCTTCTCTTAGTTGCTGGAGGAGAGGCTGGAACAAACAGTGGGAAGAGGTGAGGAAAGAGGTTTCTGTCTTTGGTTGGTGATAACAGGTAATCTTCAACTGTCAGCTTCTCTCTTGCCATAGAACTTTTGGTACCAAGTAGGAACTTACGAAAATAGGAGAGGTCTGACTGCTTTTACAAGAAAGAATTTGAAGAGGTAACTGGACAAAATGTTTCTGTATTTTGAGTGATATAGAGAAGAGAAATGGTATTTTTTTGACTTATTTTTAGTACCTTAGAAGCCAGATTTTTCAATCACTATAAATGAGCATTGTTTTCTTGCTTGGGTTAAAGTTATTTGACTGAAAGCAGCTAAGGATGAGGCTCATGCTGATATGCTGGCAGAATTTCAGCTTGAAAAAAACTTTTATCTTGAAACTTACTGAAAGTTGTGATGACTTACAGAGAATTTAAATAGTTGTTTTTTCCCTTCTTACATACCTGGTGCAGCAAATAAATATGCAACACAGACCATAAAGTACTAAATTCTAAAAAGATAATATTTTTCTTTCAGGGAAATCTGATGAACCAAGTTGTGACTGTGACCAGTTTCATTGTGCTAATGGGAAGTGTATTCCAGAAAGTTGGAAATGTAATAATATGGATGAATGTGGAGACAACTCGGACGAAGAAATCTGTGCCAAAGCTAATCCTCCGACAGCTTCTTCCTTTCAACCTTGTGCTTACAGTCAGTTCCAGTGTCTTTCTCGCTTCACCAAGCTTTACACTTGCCTTCCAGAGTCTTTAAAATGTGATGGTAACATTGATTGTCTTGACCTAGGAGATGAAATAGACTGTGATGTGCCAACATGTGGGCAGTGGTTAAAATACTTTTATGGTACTTTCAGTTCTCCCAACTATCCTGACTTCTATCCACCTGGAAGCAACTGCACCTGGCTGATAGACACTGGTGACCATCGCAAAGTAATTTTGCGATTCACTGATTTTAAACTTGATGGTACAGGTTATGGAGACTATGTCAAAATATATGATGGATTAGAGGAGAATCCCCGGAGGCTGTTGCGCGTGCTAACAGCATTTGACTCTCATGCTCCCCTCACAGTTGTTTCATCCTCAGGACAGATAAGAGTGCATTTTTGTGCTGACAAAGTGAATGCTGCACGAGGATTCAATGCCACCTATCAAGTAGATGGCTTCTGTTTGCCATGGGAAATTCCATGTGGTGGAAATTGGGGTTGCTACACTGAGCAGCAACGCTGCGATGGCTACTGGCACTGTCCAAACGGAAGGGATGAAACCAACTGCACCATGTGCCAAAGAGATGAGTTTCCCTGCTCTCGAAATGGTGTTTGCTACCCTCGGTCAGATCGCTGCAACTACCAGAACCATTGCCCTAATGGTTCAGATGAAAAAAATTGTTTCTTCTGTCAGCCAGGAAATTTTCATTGTAAAAATAACCGCTGTGTGTTTGAGAGCTGGGTTTGCGATTCTCAAGATGACTGTGGCGATGGCAGTGACGAAGAGAATTGCCCAGTCATTGTGCCCACTAGAGTAATAACTGCAGCTGTCATTGGGAGTCTTATTTGTGGATTGCTGCTTGTCATTGCACTGGGATGTACTTGTAAATTGTACTCACTCAGGATGTTTGAGCGAAGGTAAGTAGGACAGATCACCTCGAGAACTTAAATTTTTAAAATATTTTCATATCTTTTATACTTGAAGGATTTTTATTGACATAAATTTATTGTTGCATGTGATTTCTGAAGGCATTGCTCCTTCTTCTTTGACAGTAAAAAGAAGTTAGTTAAAAGGGGATAGAAGTATTCCGATCACTTAACTCTTGAGACTTAGGCTTTCAGATGTTGTTACCAAAAAGAAAGTTTGGAAAAGCTGCATTTATGCAATTAAATATCTCAATTCTGTATTTAACAGCATGTTTCTTCTGTTGTAGACTATCTCATACTAGGATTACACATTCTTCAATTTTTACAAAATAATATAAGCATCTCATGGTGCCTTTTGTATTTAGCCCATGCTTCTTTTTTTTTAGGAATTTATTGTTGGATTGGTTTTGTTGTTCTTGTCACAGCTGGACAGACCCATGAACTGACTGCAAGGACTTATTGTATATTCTTTGTCAATTAAATTTCAATTAAATTAATAAATATTCATCTGCTAAACTTATTATTTTAGATTATAATAATCTGATGTAGTTTTACTCTTAAATATATATACACACATCAAAGTCCTATGTATTATGAAATTTCTTTTCTCTTTGAAAGATCATTTGAAACACATTTGTCAAGGGTTGAGGCTGAACTGCTAAGAAGAGAAGCTCCTCCATCCTATGGACAGTTAATTGCCCAGGGTTTAATTCCACCAGTTGAAGATTTTCCTGTTTGTTCACCAAATCAGGTAAGATTCCAAAACAGCAGGCAGACCGCTTAAATTTTAAGGACACTGAAATAAAGATATTTTAACTTTCATCTGCTTTATTTTTGTTCTGTAGCATTTTCCTTTTCTTCTTTTCAGGCCAATACTATTATACTAAGGATTAGCCATGGGATAAAATCATGATATGCTAGTACCACACAGTTCTCTTTGCAGGTTTTTTTCTCGTTAAAGAATGCCAGTAATGCACACTATAGAATCCATCTTGCATGAGAAGTAATGGATTGGTAGATCTAGTTGTATGTTCTGTATTGATGATGTTGTATAAGTTCAGATTGCAAGATAACTTTGAAATTTGGGAAAGAAGAATAGAGACTTCTAATGCAAAATGGTAGTTCATATCCACTGTGTATATGTGTTAAGGTACAATCAATTCCACTATGCGTAGAAAAGATGATGGCAAAGGCAAGGTTGTAATATTATATAAAATTAACAGGAATGAGTAACAAAGTAAAAGCTAGTAAATGGGAGTTAGTGTCTAGCCATCTTGATTCTCAGATGGATCACTAGCACAATTCTTATGTGGTTGATGAATGAATTTCTATCAGAACAATCTTTTCATTAAAAAAAAAAGACTTTCAGTTAGAATGCTCTTTTGTCAAATAGAAGAAGAGTCTTAGTCTAGGAATCCCGCTGTAGTGCTGTATTAAAGTTGGCATTAACTTGTATTATGTGTTGCAGTTAATACAGCAAAGTTTGCTGTTAGTTAATATTGCTGAGCATGTAAGGAAAATAGTTACAAGACCATAAGAAGGGGAATCTTTTTTTTTTGAACAGTACTGATTTTATTACGCTTACTCTGCCATAGATTTCACTTAATCTTTCATGCATACGTGTGCACAAGCAGCAGCTGTGATCCACAACAAAGGATTGTGCAGAGGAAGAGAGGAAAATAAGTTGCAATTTGCATGAGAGACTTTGAAAACATAACAGAAAGAAGACATTGTGAAGATTTTTTAGTAGCTAAATTAGCACTAAAACATCAATGAGCTTATTAATGAATGCCTTTAATGAAGACTGTAGAATCCCTCATTCTTAATGGATGGGATATCACGGTTATAATAAAGATCAGTATATTTCTGTTTAAAAACAATTTTGTACTTTTACAAATTTGTCTTGCTGTCCTCTTTTCCAAAATGAGGCTTCACCAGTTTGTGATGCAGCTGTGCTCACAAAACCCTTGAGGTAGGGTTAACTGGTAAGACAGTGCAGTTGTTGTGCCCAGATGTGTAAATCCTTCCGGTACAGGTAACTTGGAACAAACCAATGCTTCCTGCACATCCCTACCCCGGATGGGACACTTCAGGTTTGGTGCACATGAACGTGTTTAGGAACCATTACGATTTTCAGACAAACTTAGTTTTTCATCATGGAACCTGACAAAGGTGGCCTAAAGATCTTGGATTTTACTAATATGAAATCTCCTGATAGAGAGGACAATTCTGGAAAACCCAGACATGTAGTAACTGCAGTCAGAGATTGGTATTGGAGCTTTTAAAAAGTTGTGCAATTACTGAAACTTTCTTTTATCTTTAGTTTGACTTGAATTCAATTAACCACTGTTGGTTTGGATATATTTAAATTATTTTTCAGAACTAAAATATAATGGAATTTGAAAGACTTCCTGCAAGTGACAGTCTTTCATAGGGACACATAACAAAATGTAGTTGCTTCTTAGTCTTTCTGTGTAACCATTATTTCATACGCCATAAAAATACTGATGCATGTACAGTAGTTTGGAACAGTGGAAGAGTATTAGTAAGTTCACATTATGAAGACCAGTATTTCAGATAAGATTTGTGGCCTTGAAAACTTAAGTAGCTACAAGCAATGAGCTTAAGTTCATTCTGTGAACTATTGGAAGGGAAGAGGTAGGTTGCACATGAAGTGCTGGTTGGATACCCGACCGCGTACACCCTGTGGCATCTGAAGGATTGTGGGAGGGAGCTGAAGGTGACAGCATGAGAACACTGAAGTTCAGTGTTTGTAAACAAGGTGAGATATATGCATATATGTTAAATGTTTAACTGGAAAAAAAGACTATTCTGAAAATTATTCTGTATTTTAGCCATAATCTTTATTAAAAAGTTGTGGATATGGATTTTATTCTGTAATTAAACACATCAGTGAATATTTTTCAGAATCATGGGCATCTGGCAGATCTTCCACCCTACTATTTGAGAATTGAGCTATTTAGCAGAGGTACTGTTTTATGTAAGTTTGAGTAAGGGAGTCCTGAGTCAAAGATGTTAATGTGTTCATGTTACTTTACCATTTAAAAGTTATACAAGGTTTTAAGCAGAAAAATTCAGGTATGCATTGTTCTATAGCTGAATGACTAGGAAATGTATACCAAGTTTGGCAAACGCATGGTTTAGGACACCCAAGATAATTTTAATTAAACAGAAGTATTAAAGCATTTTGAAACTGAAATTAACTGATTATGCCAAAATGGGAAAAAATCAAACTGCAAGCCTCTGCTAGAGAGGATATTTAATTTAGTCTCTATTCTAGGCAGCCCCATGGTAGTGGCTAAGGAAAGGTCACCTCCGTTAAATCTTTCTGGAAGATTTCATTTTTAAATTCCAGACTTTTTGAGGCATGTTTCTATGTACTGTACTCTAAAATCCACAGTGACTACTTTATCTTCTTGGTGAGATTGTGTGTAACAGATCTTGCCTTCCGCTGTACCCCACCTTCTGCACTGGGTCTGTGGCTCTGCTTTTCTGTAGTCAGTGTTCCATATACAGGTTATAGCGCATTCTTTATTTAGAGGTCCTTGATTTGGGCAGAACCATACCTTAAATACTTTATTGCTCTTTTACTTTTCTTCCATACATATTTCTGCTTAATTTCCCTGTTCATTTTTTTTTTTTCCACAGGAGAATCTAGACTTCTTTCATGCCTGCTTTGTTTTTAAAATAGCGTATTGCTACATACAGCAGATCTTAATATTAAAGACACTTTTTTTTTAATATTTAAGACTCTACATTTAACTTTGTGATGATATGCCATTTTGTGCAATAGTTGTCATTCTTCTTTTGTTAGAATGGTGCCAATGTACTGTCAACGCTTGATTGTTGCTTGTCTTCTTATTTAGGCTTCAGTTCTGGAAAACCTGAGACTGGCAGTACGATCTCAGCTTGGATTTACCTCAATCAGACTTCCTATTGCTGGCAGATCGAGTAACATTTGGAATCGAATTTTTAATTTTGCAAGGTCGCGTCATTCTGGATCATTGGCATTGGTCTCAGCGGATGGAGATGATGTTGCCAACCAAAGTACTAGTAGAGAAGCTGAAAGAAATAATACTCACAGAAGTCTGTTTTCAGTTGAATCTGATGATACAGACACAGAAAATGAAAGAAGAGACACAGCGGGAGCAGTTGGTGGTGTTGCTGCCACTTTGCCTCAGAAAGTCCCACCTGCAACAGCAATAGAAGCCACAGTCGGAGCATGTGGGAGTTCCTCTGCTCAGAGCGGCAGTAGGGGTAACACGGATAGTGGAAGAGAAGTGACGAGTGTAGAGCCCCCAAGCACAAGTCCCGCACGTCACCAGCTCACTAGTGCGCTAAGTCGTATGACTCAAGGCTTACGCTGGGTACGCTTTACTTTAGGGAGATCAAGCTCAGTGAATCAGAACCAAAGTCCTTTGAGACAGCTTGATAATGGGGTAAGTGGAAGAGAAGAGGATGATGATGTTGAAATGTTAATTCCAGTCTCTGATGTAGCATCAGACTTTGACGTGAATGACTGTTCAAGACCTCTACTTGATCTCAGCTCAGATCAAGGACCAGGGCTTAGACAGCCTTACAGTGCAACACATCACGGTGTAAGGTCATGCAGTCGAGATGGGCCCTGTGAGAGCTGTGGCATCGTACACACTGCCCAGATACCCGACACTTGCTTAGAAGCAACAGTGAAAAATGAAACTAGTGACGATGAGGCATTATTACTCTGCTAGGTACGGATTGTTTAGGAAAGATTGTGTACAAGTTGGAGCAATATCTGTCATTGTTTTGTACTTCACAGTTAAAACTAGTTTTTAGTTTTAAAAAGTCCAGGAGAACATTATGTTAAAACTATTTTAGCCTGTGTGGTTATTAAACATTTCTTATACTGGATGATGTTATGGAACTATTAGAGTGAACGTTTTAATGGCTCTGAATACACGATGTGTGTATCCAGTATAATCTGATTACTCTTTAAACTGAAGCTATCCCACTTAGTTTCAAATTTAGTTTATCCTGGTACTGTAGTTCAAACCAGAAACATGGCTGCTCAAGACTTATTTGGCTGCCTGTTTAACCCCATATTAACAGGTGAATTTGTACAGAATTATTTTCCTTTAGGAATTGACTCTGTTGTATTATTGCCAACATACTTGTAACTTAATATACTAAATGCTGGTAAGGATTGTTAATGTAAAATATGTACTTTTCTTTGAGTTTATACAACACTTTGTCTAAATATTCTTGAATTTCATCATAATGTGAACTTACTTAAAGGGAGGAGATACTTTCTCCAGGAGCATTCTTTTTCCTTCAGAAGTACAAAATGCAATGATTTGTGAAATTTAGATACAATAGATAAACTGGTGGCAAAAGCTTTTATAGCACTGACTTTCCTAAACTGCAGTCTAATATGGTACAGCCAAATAGTACGTAAAATCCCCAGTCATTAGTCTTTTCGATTTGAAGTAAAACAAGGCCGAAGATATTACAATATGTGTTAGTTCTTTAAATATCCGATATGTACAAATACACTACAGAATAAGTTCCAACTGGTAATAGAATACTGTAGGGTGTAAAGCTTGTTTGGACTCAAGGGATTTGCACTAAAATCATATTAAGGTCTCTAATGAGCTTAGTGCACAAGCACTATCACTTTAAGTACTATTATTGTCTAATATTGCAATGGCTATATATTTTCATGGCTCTTTTCTTGGGGTGTTGCATTTTTGTTGCAATTGAAGTTGCTTTACTAATTCCCCTATTTATTCGTTGTATTTAAAAACTGGTTTACTTGGTTGCAGACTGGTTGTTTAAAAAAAAAGAATCCCTTTTAATGTCTTTTTTTAATGATACTACATGTTGGAGCAAAACAGATCAGTGGGAAAAGCGCTCATAACTTCCAATTTTGTAATAAGCAGATTAATATGTGGCTACTATTGTGACAACAAGAATCTACACCTTTTAAAAACAAAAATGTCAACTACTGTTTTATTTATTCTTTGCCAGTCTGTTTTTAGTAGGCTTAAAGATCCAGTATGAAATGTATTTGTGTGTGATTGTATGCTATTTATTAAAGTTTAAATACTTTGTTGAATGTCATTTTAAAGCATGTTTAAAGTCTTGTGCATTTCTGTCGTGTTATGCTGTCGGGCAGAACTGACTAAACTATTTTAATATGTATCAAAATTAAATTGAATTTTTGTTATGTTTTTGAGGTACTTTTAAAGATAAATCCAAGATCTGTCTGGCTTTTTTTTATTTTTTAAAAATCCTCATCTCTGAAGTACAAATCACATGCAGAAGAAACAAATAATTGAATGGATTCCAAAGTGTATATATCTTCTCCCTCTTCTTTCACAGACACTGGGAAGAGAAAAATAAACAATTTTACTGTCTGGTTGATTTTATTCATGAGAGTTAGCAGGTAAATTCTGAGTTCAGGACAAGGTTATGTAGATTTGTGCTTTTGAGGAACTTATGTGCAATACAGTTGTAAAAGATTTTATTATAACGACCCATGCGGTTTCAAGTTTCAGGACAGATCATGTCACACTGGTACCAGATCAGGTACAAATTGGCCCATAATTACACATACTCGAGTAAACGTCATCAATGGCCATTTTTATTCACATTGAATAATATCTAAATCTGTGGGTAATCTTTAGTCTGATTTCAGTAGCATTGCTTATAGAGCAGGCAACTTTGCAATATGAACCTGGTAACACACCCTGAAATACATGTGAACAGTATGTCCTGGTATAAAATACTGGGTTTTTAAACCTTCCTAACTAATTGTCATTAGAAAGTGGTTATGGAAATGTTGGTCCCCGAGGCAGATACATTTTGAAGAAAGAGTCTTCACAGAATACCTTTGGTGTTATACACACACATAATGATCTAAATTTGTTCCATTAGAAGCCCCAAATAGCATGTACCTATGGACTCCATATTGCAGATGTAAAAAGAACACAATGTTTCATTTGTTTTAAAGGAGAAATGCTACACATTTAACTGAGAAGTTGGATTTGATTGATAATTTGGGAAATTGTAAATAAAATTCATATTTGTATGAGGCTAATTTGTTGCGGTGATTTTTTTTCTTAGTGAATTTAAAAAGAATGATCAAATTTTCTTTTGATGAATACTGGGGTTATTCTTTTGTTTGTTTGGGTTTTTTGATTGTTGGGTTTGTTTTGGTTGGTTGTTTCCCACCTCCCCCCCCCGAGACTTACATTGAATCATGTTACTTTTTTTTTTTTGGAGCTGCTCTTTTAAGTGATTCTCGGTTTAGCTGTGCTACAACGCTAGGGCATTTTGAAGAAAAGTCAAAATGATTCATTGTGGAATTATCTTACTTTCTGTAATAAATCACTTTCATCTGAAAGCTTTGAAGAACGCAGGCTATTGTGAGGTGAGGTTTTTCCTCATGTAAACTTTCTAAGCAAGGAAGGAATTTGTCTTTGTTTCTTTTCACATACCATGCTTTTCTTGTCATTTGATTTGCACTGAAACATTAAGGGGGCTGACTTAGCCTCCGATGCTACAAGGGCTTGTTTTGTTTCCAAAGTAAAGTCCATTTTCAGTACAAGTTCAGCAAGTATTGCTGATAACTCTTCTTTCAAAACAGGTTCCTGAAGAGGATCCTGGAATTACAGTATTGTGTGTTCCACTTCCTATCCAAAGGCCAAAGCAAGAACTTGTGACAAAGCTTGGATTCAGTCTAGGAAAATCACAGTTCAAATCTTGGACACAAATACTTTTTCAGTGAGTCCTTATATTAAATACTTTCTGCAGATCAAAGTTAATTGTTGGTTTTCCTGTCGAGATGAGTTTTTTTTCCTTTCTGAAAAGTGAATGTTTACTGGCCTGCTTCATTCTCCCACATCAATTCACCTGCTGCAGTTGTCCTGAGGAAGTACTGCACGTTTTCCATAAATCTTTAACAGCTTTAATCTTCCTGTAGTTCTGACGAGTGGGAGGTTTTTGGCTGTGTCTCGTCTCTTCCTCACCTGTGAGTTTCTGAAAATAAGCAGTTGGTAATTGAACTCCTCCAGGATATCATCTACAATCCAATTGCCCAAAAAGGGATATGTTCTGAAAGGACAAGGGAGAAGTCTGTCCTATCCCACTGCCAAGTCACTGAAGGTATGGAGAGGTAAGCAGATCGTAGTTAAAGCTGCTTTCCTTCTATCCTCTTTTGGGATTTGACTACTGTAGTTAGCTTTCCCTCATCAAAGTAAATTAATTGAGTTCATGCATATTGGTCTTGATACCAAGAAGTTTTATAGCAGAACATTCCTATCATGTCAATATATTTGCCCAGTTGAGGCTTCCATTCACAACCAGTATGGCACCGTGGTCTATCTCGTGAATAGTAACTTGGGGGTATTCACTGAACTGAGGTATTATTTACCAATTTGGATAGATGAGATTTCCTCCATAACGGATGGGGGAAATGAGAGAAGCAGCTCTATAAGCAATCTAGGTTGGTGATTCTTAATTGCACTTTGAGAAAGGGCATTTGTGGAAAGCCAGCATTAACAAAACGTAGCTCATCTTTGTGAGTATCCTGAGAAAAATCAGTGTTGGTAATATTCCCCCTGCCCTGAAATCTAGCAGAAGAGCTTAGATTTCAGCATTAGTTCCTCCTTGTGACCGAATTGTATCTTACTATCAAAGTACCAAAGAAAAGATACAATCTGAAAGAACTTACTTCATCTGCATTCAGTTTGAAAGATTATTCTGTATTACAGTTGCCTTGTATGCTGCTTATGCAGGAAGGAAAGGGGTGGAACACAGGAGGCAAAAAAATTAAGATGAAGAGGTGAGTCACTGTATTTTGATTTTGAATGATGGGAGAGCTGTAATAAGATGGCCTAGAAACTCTAAAGGAATATAATTATTTTTTTCCAGATAATGCATTACTAAAAATAACAGTTTCCAAAGGAAGCTAATCTCTGTGCTTTTGTGGTTATGTTTCTGGGAGTCTGGAAAAATCCCACCTATGAACTGGCTTTCTTTCGTTGAGATTATCCACCAGGAAGCAACTGACATGTCTGATGAGTCTTTTTCCCAGAATGTCTCGAGACCTAGAATTCCGATGCCTAAACTGAACTGCCTTTGTGGTCTCATGGATTTTTAGAAGGTGGCTATTTTATTGGACCCTTAGTAAGCCACTGTGGGAAGTAAATAGGGAAAAAAGCATAGTATTACGGTTCCTTAGATGCTGCTCTGCTGGGTTCCTGGTCTTTCTTTTTTCATCCTTGTTTGTGCTGTCTGTGATCTATCGTTTGTGTTGAGCAATTTCAAGGAGCAAGAAGCACTTAGTCTTATGAAAATGAGAGAGAACAGTCACTACCAGTTGTCACTTTAAAAAGTAGGATGGTCCAGCACATGCAACAGCTTTGGTTGCCTTCCTTTGTGTCACCGATGTGAGGTTCAAGGCTGGATGCTAATGGGCTGCAGCATCACTTCCAATATATTTGGGGAAAGATTGGCACTAGGAGCTTGGATGTGGCCCGGTAGTACTTACACTAAGGAGAGCCTATTTATAATTGTAGAGATGACATGGAACTACGTGATTCAACTCTTTTTAGATTTCAATCTTTTTTAGCCTTGGTTTATTATAGAAAACCAATAGGATGTACTTAGTTGCTAGATTTGTAAAGCATTTACAACTGAAGAAACCCTTAGAGATTAGACTTTAAAATACCACCACTTGTTTGTGTCTGCAAATCCATCTTATGAAAGCAATCAGCACCAGATTGTTCAGAAAATCAGTTATGACATTTTCACAAGGGGCACCTGACTTTTCTCTCAATTATGAGGACTTTCCAGGTAGAATTACATGCAGACCATCTGATTTCCTTGAATGAGTATTAAATTCCCACTGCAGAAAAGATGGGTGTGAAAGTAAATCCCAGGTGAACAGGCATTATGAATTTGTTGTAGGAATTGTGGAGAAATGCCTACTGAGTATTCAAAGTCCTTACTTTGACTATGGCAAAAGATAACCATTCATTCCCTTCTGCAGATCCAGAGTTCACCTCAAACTGATACATCTTTACACCGATTCTCCAAAACCAAGTGTTTTATCCAGCTTTACTAAAAATCAGTGGTATCCTTTCTGTTAATTGTCTTGAATTGAGTCTGTCCCCATCCTCTTGACATCCACTCTTTAGATA